CCTCCAACTGAAGAGCGTAAGGCTGCTCCGTGACGCCTATCTCCATAACCTAATCAAGGAGGGACTGCGAAAGGGCGACTTGATATATTACCGAACAAACGGTGCTATCCGCATCAAAAAAGAGGAATGGACCCAAAAGCTCCATGCTTTAAGAATTAAACGCGATATTTTGGCATGCTATTCTGTCGACCTCGAAACGAAGGATATAATGTTCGACTACAAACATGCAGCGAAGATATTTGGGGGACATGAATTCCCAACCGACTCGCGGGCTCCGGGGATCCCATGGGTACTCAACCGTAGGAGGAGCCTGACTTTGCGGCCAGGGTCAGATTCCTACCAAGACAAGGGAAAGACAATGAAGGAAATCGGCCGTGCAAGCGGAGGTGCTGTGCCTACTACCGCGGGGGTCTCTAGCGAAGCTCTAGAGCCGATGGTTGACCCGCAGGAGGTTCCTAGCATTTCAAACCCACAGGTTGCTCCTGGAAGCACTGAAATACAGGAGGGAAAAAATATAGGTGAAGAAAGCAGTGTGGTTGGATCAACAATACCGCAGATCTCAGGCACTAAACCTGAAGGGACATCTATCCAAACAGTCACGGCAGAAACATCGGTGGTGGAACCCAGCCCTGCGGTAATTCTGGCGGACGAAACCTCTCCAGGAGCCATGAGCGCGAAATCGAAACCATCTGCTCCTTCACCCCAGACACCGCTCGAAGATGGCTACGAATATCTCCGTTCAGGGAGATGAATTTAGGGGGTAGACAGCTAGGAGCGAGCATCTAAAGAGCCACTTATTGCATATATTGAGTATGCGGCCGACAATGTATAGGCATTTATCAATCGATACCCACGGAAGATCACTAATTTATTTGTATATATTTTGACAAGCTATCTCCCTCTCGCACAAAAACAAGAGGGGTGTATATGAAACTACAACTTGCATAAAAATAAAAAGGAATGACAGATATGATCGCGATGTTGAAACCAACCAGCTGGATAAGGAATAGCGAGACAGTTGTCACATTTCATAGACAATATAGGCGCGCCTCAAGCATTATGTTTGGCGTCGATGTCCTTCTCCGACAACGCTTCATCGCTGTGGTAGGCGCCATCACCATTTGTTGTCGACCCAAGTTCAGCATATATGGTCTCAAGTCTGTGTCTGTCGGTAGCTGAAGTTCCAGCCTCGTCGCCGAATACTTCGTCCATCTCCTCCAGCGATAGATTCTTGGTTTCTGGGACGAACCACCAAACAAAGCCGGCGGCCAGGGTGCATATTAAACCGAAAAAAATAAATGTGCCGTATTTGGTCGATTCGACCATATCCGGGGTCGCTTGACCGATCTGGAGAGAAATATCAGTTTGATGTCTTTCAGCGCACCAATGGGTTAAGGGAAATTTACAACTTACAGCAAAGTTGTTCAACCAGTTGGATGAGCCTCCGATAGAGATACCTTTGGCTCTGACACCGAGAGGGAAAACTTCCGATACGAGAACCCACGCACCGGGGCCTGGAAGCAATTAGCTGCAGTTTTCGGAATTGTGCGAGGCGTACAGCGCACGAATATTTAAACTTAGAGGTTTCACTTACCCCAGGAATATCCAAAGTGGATTTCATATATCCATACGAATACTACGGCGACCCATCCGGCGGCACGATGATTCGGCCAGTCATTCCCGAAGGACCCAAAGAGACCAGCAACAATAAAGTGACTCACAGCCATCCCGAGAGCACCGGTTATGAGGACTGGTTTGCGGCCAAGTTGATCGATCCATAGTACGGCCGGGATAGTAGCTAGAAACATGGCAATCCCACCAACACCGGATGCCAACAGAGACGTGGTATTTCCGGTCAATCCCAAATCCTTGAAAATGAATGAAGCATAGTAAAGGATGGCGTTGATTCCGGACCACTGCTGGAAGATCATAATCCAGATTGCCACGTTGACTCGTTTGAACAAAGATTTGTTTTTAAAGAAACTCATGTACTCGTGAAAGCCAAGAAGGAAATTATCCTTGAATGTCCCATGTTGGTATTGTGGAAAGTTTGCTTCAGACGTTCGAACTTCGAACAAATGCTGCGCTTTGACTTCGAGATATTCGATTCGAACGAGTTCGTCCGTTTCTGGCCGACGGCGCAGCTTCGCAAGCACCTCCAGACATTCTTTGTCCATTCCCTTTTTCATGAGCCAACGGGGCGATTGTGGCATGAAAATGATCCCAATTCCTAGCACAATAGCGGGGACAAGCTGAATACAGATTGGAATCAACCAAGCAGCATCGGATTGACCCTCCCCAGTCCCACCGATAAAATTGGTACCATACCCAATCCAGTAACTAATCATAATGCCGAACGTGATTGCGAGCTGCTGCAAACTCACTAAAGCACCTCGAAGCTCTGGGGGCGAAAGTTCGGCATTATAGAGCGGCACCACCATGGATAGAGAACCGACACCGAGGCCGGTAATGAATCGCCCACCGAGGATATAGTCGACGTTCTTTGCGCAAGCTTGAACAATTACACCAATACAAAAGACAATGGTTGCGAGTACGCAGGCACGCTTCCTACCTAGGGCGTCCGCAAGATAACCATTGAGGAGAACACCAAGCCATGCACCGAGCTCGAGGATGCTATTAAATATCCCGAATTATGAGTTGGCTTCAACAATTGAAGTGCTTTTAGTTTCCAAGGGCTTACTCACGCCGTCATGAAACCTCTAGCTGTTGGATTTTTGATTTGTTCGGGGTGGACTGTGTTTGCGAAAGATGGCATGCTTAAGATCTGTCCAAACATACCCTGATTATCTAATAAGCCCCGCACAGCCCTGTCAGTTTATACAATTGTGTCGAATTGATCAGCGGTCTGATGTCAATACTTACATCCATAAACCAACCCTCCTAGCGATGCGAACACTGAAATGGCGAATACATTCCCATTCTGGATTAATCCTTTGATACCGGGGGGCCCCGAGAATTGCGCTCTGCGCTTCGAGAATGCCTCGAACTCTTTACCGCTGCCGCCTGCGACCATTTTGAACGAGGTGGGAGTTTACTATTTGATGTCGGTTGAATGCTCCTGGGCGAGAACGATAACCTTAACCCGAGAGGAAAGTCTGGAGGGGTCACCAGCAGCCATGGGTCCATTATATAGTTCTTCAATCAAGAAACTTCTCCATCCCCAACTAGCTACCCCGGACGACCGGTCGGAGATGGTTAATACATGGTCCCAAATCCTAGAAACCATATTAATACGGCTAGGATATAGAGGTCAAGGTATAAACCTATATAAACTATTACATTAACAAAACCGATTGGTTGCCTAGCTCACCCGCCATTCGATATTCGCCAGAGTATCTTGTCGTTGACAAAGTTTGATTCATAAGCACGTACGTATAGGATGTCATTCTAGGTCGGAACGTTCACTCTGATATTCTTTCAAATTTATTAGGCTAATATGGGCTCTCATCCCCCCACTTTTGCATTTCTCATTGTCTTTATTGATGATCATAGCCAATCCTAGGAAATACTGTGACAGTCAGTTGATGGAGTGGGGCATGGGTTCAGTAGAAGAATGTGGACCCATAGCGATCAAAGGGACATTGAATAACATGGCTGGTGTGTTTAGGTTATTTGTATAACGGGAGAAAAAACAAGCTTATACAAGCATAGGCTAAGAAAAACGCCTCTCCGGCATTGGCATAACTCGGTTCCAAAGAAACGAAAGGGAAGTTTTGAGCGAAGCCTTTTTGGCTAAAATGGATAAATCTGGGTGCCCACTTTGCACATAATCGAGAGTTGAGGTCGCACGAGCGGAAGGGGTGTGGAGTATTGTAACATCGGAGAAAGCGGGCCCATTGGACACGAGGAGAACAAGGATAGCTTCCCCCGCAGGGTTTAATTTATCGCACTTTTTTTTCTGCCTCTCGGAATATTTGTTTTCTGGGGCAGTCATGATGGGGCTAATTGGTAAGAACTTAGTCGTCAAATGCCGATACGAAATTGACCCTTGAGCCTCTCTCGACCCGCAGATACCTTGCATGAAATTACGGCGACAAGATTGCTGTCCCAGTGGTTCTACGAACCTTTTGCATGAACATGCAATTTTTGGCGGAATTTATGCTGAATCATCCTAGCCCCGAATCCAGGTGCAAATCATCCATCTATGCTAATGTGTACATGTGCAGATAAACGTGCATATTGGTGCTGCCCAATTGTGAACATGGGCTACGAATTCGCCTTAATAAAGCTCCAAAGTCCATTGTCGCAGGCCGATTGCTTTTAAGATAGTACGAGACCAACGGGGAGGAAGCAAGGCCCAACTAGCAAGCTGTTCGGTCTTCCTAGAGTCTATCAGTATATATATCTAGCTTAGAAATTCACTGGCGGATAGATCACCATAGCCCACGACACAATTATCCGCCGTCTGACCTATCGATCTCATTAGTGGTGGATGATGCCGATTAAAATCATGTATCCACTCGGTATTTGATATCGTCACGCATCCCTCGTGGCAACTGACTCGCGTTGAGAGTCAAAAGCGTCCAGAACGTTATTGGCCAGCACGTGCACCCACAATAATATAGCGAACTATAAAGGATTCGGCTTCGAGATTGTGGTTCAGTCGGCCGAGAAGAAAACCATCAACAAAAGTTCCTGCAGCTAGATATCTCCAGGAGGTCGGAATCCATGCTTGGCAATTTTTCCAGGTTGAAAAAAAGATCCTGCCTTCATTCGCTTTGGGATCGATATAAGAGATCGCAGGTTTTGGAAGTCGGGTTGTGGGGCCTCGTGCCAACACTTTTAGGGCCGAAGCTCTCGAAGTTCTAATAAGGCGACTTTTGTGTTGTTATGAACCAAAATACAACATTGAAGGCGGGGCAGCTTGGAATACCGGCACCAATGGACTCGACTGGCTTAGCACCCTCACAGACAGGCAAAGAAACCTTGTGAGAATCGAAACTGGAGGGGAAAAAAAAAAAGGTTTGAAGAAGTATTGCGGGCCACAGTCGGAATCGAATCGACGTCTATCCGGCCAAATCGGATTGTGCTCCCATTACACCATGCGGCCTTTGTCACCAACAAGCTCCAGCCTCAAATTTGATTGACTTATAAAGTCTGACACAACATCAAGTAATATGGTAACCCCGCTCCAGATTTAATATTCGATTGATTGGATGGGAGCCGTTCTCCGATTTTAGTGATTTCCTCGTATGCTAAATATGTTTTAGATGGCCCGATGCTATATTCTCAAATCAAACCAATTCCCATGACACATCTTGAAAAGAATATCAATTATACCAACTCCCGCCCCCCGAAATAAATACCATACAGTTAGAAGTATCCACAAAGGAAACAAAGAAAGAAAAAAAGCCGCCCCTTTCCCGAGCTTAAATTCGTGAAAGATCAAAAAAGATGATGGTACGTCCATGAATAAAGTAGTATGTTGATATAATATATACTTTCCATTAAAATCGCCCGTTATGCCCCAGCAACAACACCGCTTAACTTTTTTTTCTTTCCAAAATGATTTTTGTTTTTAAAAACAGACCTTATGGCCATTCCTTTTGCGTGAGAATGCTAGCATAGGTAAGAAGAAGATGAAAGAGAAATGGAAAGAGTGAGGTCACTCTGTGGGTGAACTAGACGATGAAATGTTGACGCCGTTCATCCAATTTCGTACACGTTGGCCTTCACTCCGGCCAGCGCTGCTTAGATTTGAGGCATAACCTGGTGAATTGTTGCCTCCTCCCCACTCGTTAGGATCTCCAAGCATCCAAGAAAACTCAAGTCCCGGAGGCGGAGATGTTAATAGTTCCTGGGTGCCATATGTTGCTGGGAAGTAAGGCCGTTCGAGAATGGAGTTAGAAGTGGCGCTTGGGGGTGTGACGACAGGGCTATTCAGATTCGACCCTATGGCTTCTGCAGTAGGAGTTGTTGGACCATTTGATGTTGTGGTGTATTCCATCATATCAACCGGCGGGTAAATAAGAACGGATGTGGGATCAGCGTCAAGTGAAGCGGGTACGGTGGCCAGTAGGGCTGTCGAATCAATACTCGCTGCATCTTCGATGCCGGGGGTTGGAATAGGCATCACGGCGGCTTCATCGACAATTGGTGTGGGGGTGCTTTCGTTGGAAGGCGGTGATTCTGGGGACGGTCGCGTGGAGCTTGGTAGTTCTACTAATCGTTGGTCTCGCATTGGGTCCGGAGGCAAGAGGATAGATGAGGTCTTTGTTAGGATTATCCTCAATAACTGAGGATTGGAAGATGTCCTAAAATGGAGAAGATCGACTAGGTTTTTAAGGTAGTCAACTGGGGTGGGCGCCCAGGGAGCAAGCGCCGTAGATGGCTGCAGCCCTTTGATGTTAGGAACGCACAGGATAACGTCTGCAAGCGAATTGGTGATTTCGAAGAGTTTCGATTGCTATTTTGCAATGTTAGCCTGAGTTGGTTGTGTGAAAGGATCCCAAATGTATCACACATACCATGCCGGGGCCATGCGATTCGATAGCACCACGCGATATATTTGACAACGTGGACAACAGTTCCTCCGCGACCTTTAAGGGAAACGATACGGTCATGGCATCGTCGTCTTTCCCAGTTGGGCCGGCTAGAAAGCCCTGCTGCATGCTGACCTGCCACACCAAAGTTCTCATCCAGTGCTTCGTAACCAATACGTCCGCTTTCTGGACTTCATTCGTGTGTGTTTTGTGCGGATGGACTCGCTTTAAGTTGCGTTGGAGCCGCAGTAGTAGATCGAGAGTCGGTGCCTCATCCGTATTCCGCGATGTCCAAGCATCAATGACGGATTTGTCGAAGTTTGCGAACAGACTAGCCAGGTTCATGAAACTCGCGAGTAGCGGCTCTTTGTCGATATCCGGCGAAGGCAGTTTGATAGTTTTATTCAATACGAACGGCAGGTCATGCACAATCGAATGGCCTCTGAGGTGATATAATACCCGTAAGCGATTAACTAGTACTGGCGCATAGGATCGAGTGGGACCAACCTTTCAGTGACGAATAACAGCCAAAACAACCTCCTCCGTAGCTCAGCGTCCTCCCGTGACAATGAATGGTATCCACTCTCCCTATCCAAGTTCATAATCTGGACGAATGTGATCGCCTCCCGTAGCGACAGCGAAGAGGCCGACACCTTCCCCAGGTTCTCATAGTAAACGTGAAAGAAGAGACTGGTGAGAATAGCATAGATCCCGGGACGCTCCCTCCATTCGAACAAACGTCTCGCTCTTAAAGCTTCCGCTGCAAAGTGTTCGGTACTGACAATGATGGTCTTGGTCATCTGTGTTTCGGGGTCCAGGTACTGCTGTGTCCATTGTGGCAATTGAAGCTGGCCCATAACGGCTGACGCTAAAGCAGTTGCGAGAGCGTATATTTCAGGATCATCCGGCCGTGCCTCCAGTTCCGCCAGCAGCGGTTCCCATTTCAAGATCGGCCATACCGGGTACAATCGATGGTGGTAGATTTCGAGATATATCGCTAGGACGGGTGTAGGGTACTTCGTGGCGGTCGACAGGCCTTGTCCAAGTCCAATTCCATCCTGTTCTGCTTCCAGGTATGTATAAGTCGGGGAGATATTCGGAATATTGTTGATTCCATTCAAGTAGCCGGAATCCGAATTCTGGAATGTTCGCGAAGGCGAGCCTAAGGGTGTCTGTTCCGTAGACTCCGGTTCTGTTTCATCATCCACCAGCCCAGCTGCAGAAGAAGGGGGAGGGGGAGGGTTTATTTGAAGAGCATCCGGATCGAGATCACGAGTGTATTCCTCCTGGGTGCGTTTTATGGCTTCGATAGTCCGGGCAGTTGGTTTTCGGGGACCACCTTTTCTTAAGGCCTTGAGAAAGGTGCAGGGTAGCCCCGCCTTGAAGCATGCTCGGCATGGCTGCACGCCGTCGCATCGAATCTTTCGGATACTGCAGCCATCGCATGCTCGTTTAGGCATCCTGGGGTCACGATCCGACGACGACGGGGGGCGTAGGAAGACTGAAAGAAGCTTTCGAGCCCGGGCGGCGACTTCCCGCGAGAACTATCAAATGGAAGGCACATCGGTGATGTCAGCTGTGGAGTTCGAGACGGGCAGTCTGCAATATTTTTTCACCGAGATGTCTCCCGAGAATTTTTGCAGCCGGCTGGCGGACTGGCCTAAACCACCAGACCGACTAGTTACTTGGCTAACGAGGGAGGGACGATCTGGGTTCTAGAAGGATTGAGAGTGGAGTAGTGGTTGAGTAGGACGTACAAAGTCAGAACGCCAATAAGCTCTGCGTGGTCGTCGTGGCTGCTGCAACTATCGGCCATGAAACTAGTCTTCGGTGCTCTGGAAGGGTCACAGCTGCTGAGGAATGGAGATGAAGATGGAGACGAAGATGAAGATGCAGATGAAGATGCAGATGAAGATGATAGGTCGAGACTGCGATTGGAATTCCGTGGATTGCCCTGGTTTGCCTTCGGCCTCGTAACTAAACCGCAGCGAGGCATGGCTGGCTGGCTGGCTGGCTGCTGGCGGTGGGCGGGCTGGAACTTTGACTTGTCTTGACTGGGCGGCTGGCTGAGGTTCTGCTGTTCTGCTATCTGCTTGTGCTCTTGCGCACTGACTTTGGCTTTTCAAAAGGGGGGGAATGCAACATTTTCAACACACTTCCATTTCTTCGTCATTCTGACTAGTTAAGTATCTATCGATATGTCTATCTACATCTTATACATGCGCCCTCTGCAGCATGTATGGAGGCAGGGAATTAATTTACAACCAGTCTTTGTTCCCGTGGTGGCTCATGAATCTGCCGGTATCCTTCACCGTCAACTTCCCCAACGTATCCAACAGAAAGTTCACACTCTCCTCTGGGGAAAGCGGTCCTTCGAAGGATGGCTTCGTCTTCTGGAATACCTTTGTCATGTTCTCATAGAATTGAGGGGCCCCTGTTTTTATAACGAGCGTAGTCAGTACATATGCTGATACACTACATATATTTATTATGCAATTATAAGTAGATAGGGGCCGGGGGGGGCTTACAATCCTGTGTCTGGGTCCTCACCAAACCGGGGCTGATGGCCACAATCGTAACACCATCCTCGACCAAAGCATTCGAATACATCGCCACAACCATATTAGCCGCAGCTTTGGAAACGCAATACGGAACGCTATCCTTCATCCCCCACTGCACTATTCCTTCGACATCCCCAACTCCTGAGCTAAGCACCGCGATCTTTTTAATATTGCTTTTCTTAATAAGCGGAAGGAACGCATTCGTCGTGTGAACGATGGACATCACATTGCTTTCGAAGGTATATTGAAGATCTTTGCCGAAGACTTTGGTCTTCTCGGCGTCACCGACTAGGTCGGTCAGTGAGAAAGCCGCGGCTTCTCCCATCAAGAGAGCCGCGTTTTCGATAAGAAAGTCAAGACTTCCTCCGGTGACTTGGGAGATTGACTCGGCGGCGGCCTCAAGTTCAGCCGGTGATGTTATGTCGCCTTTGAGGATGTGGACGTTCTTGTTGGAGGAGGCGAGTGAGGTAAGTTGAGCAGATGACGTGGGGTTACGGACCAAGGCGAAGACGATGTTCGAGGGGTCTTGGGCGAGGTGTTTGACGAATGCGAACTACACACACTCAAAGCATCATTAGAATCGGGTTTCATGTCACGATATATATACCGATAGGAGACCGGAGGCGTAGACCGATTTCCTTGTCACGTCAATCGGTGTATGGGCAAGGGAAGGAACTCACCCCAATTCCCCTAGAGGCACCTGTGATAGCGTAGGAGGTCATTGTGAAATATTCAAGTCTCGCAACAGATATGTGTACGGGTGGGATAAAGTATGTATGGTTTAGATGCTGAGAGCTACTCTTGATGATAGTAATACGGTTGCGATGCAATATTAATGGGGATGTTGGACCAGATATTTCCGGGCGGGCGAAGGCCTTTTATACTTTTATCATGAGCAAACCCCATCGGTTCTCGAGTCAATCTTCTCTCATGCCTCGATGCTACTATAGTATACGACGACGTAAAGCCATTGCTGATGTTAGTGCTAGCTAGCGCTAGACCACCCG